TAACCAATAACTCTTTAGTATGCATAAAGATATAATGGATACCGCCCACATTCACCTCGAACCATGTTGTTGGGTGTTGACGATTTGACACCCAGAAAGCACTTGCATGCCAATGTATGTGTAGTTTCCATTTCATCATTCTTGTGTAGACCCCAGACTTCGGAACCATAGAGCAAAATTGGGACTATTTTCATATCAAATATTTTAAAAGATAAGTCATATCGAAGAGGATGTAATTTTATCAATGACTTTAAAATTCCAAACATTGCTTTTTTCCCCTGTAGACCAGCATTAGAAAAATGACTTGACCAGGACAGGCTTCTCGTAAAAGTAACGCCCAAATATTTATAGGAGGACACACACTCCAACTTTAGACCTTTATAGTACCAAATCTCTTTTCTTGACAACACTCCACCTTTCTTAAAAACAACAACCTTGGTTTTATCCAAATTGACATCTAGATCATAATCATTACAATATTTTTCTAGAACATCAATACGCTTCTGAAGTCCACCTATAGTATCTGCAATTAAAATAATATCGTCTGCAAATAATAACAGGAATATCTCTGTAATATCAGGATGAAGTTGTATTCCTGGTCCAGAATTCTGTTCAACTTCAGCAGCTAGATTGTTAATAAACATCGAGAATAAAAGGGGGCTTAACACACAACCCTGACGTACTCCTCTTGGACACTGAAACATTTCAGAAAATGTATGTTTAAATTTAACACTGGCCTTAACAGCTGTATAAACAGACCGTATAGCTTTTATCATTTTGCCAGCGACACCTTTATTAGCTAGTACTGACCATAATTTCATCCGGTTTACACTGTCGAAGGCTTTTGCAAAATCGACAAACAAACCATATACCCTACCCTTACGCTTACTGATATATCTCTGGATAATACACTGTAATATAAAGATATTATCTATGGTGGAGTAATCATGACGAAAACCAGCCTGGGACTCTGCAATTTTACCATAGACCTCACACCAAGATGTGACCCTTCTGTTCAAAATAGAAGCATACAACTTACTCAGTGCACTAAGGACTGATATACCCCTATAGTTGGATGGGGAATGGATGTCTCCTCGCTTATGTATCGGAACAATAATTCCCAAAGACCAAGATTCAGGAAAGTATGCATTATCAAACAACTTATTAAACAACACTGTAAGATACGGGACATAAATATCATTCGCATATTTAAAAAATTCTGAAATGAGGTGGTCAATTCCTCCGGATTTATCAATTTTCAAAGAGTTGATGGCACAAAGCACCTCCTTTTGTGAAATGGGGGAGTCCAGAATATAGCAACTCATATCATCATGACTATCATTAATAGTCGTATCGGTGTTAACCATATCTTCATCTCTCGGATTGTCAAACACATCTTTAAAATGATCGACCCATTGTTCTAGTGATATGTTAGGTACACGAGTTGCCGCACTCTGAGATAATCCTCTTATGGTAGACCAGAAACATTTACTATTTGGAAGACTAGATAAAACCTTATTACGCATACATTCATTATAACTTTTCTTTTTATCACGTAATAAACTTGTATAAGTATTTCTTGATTTTAACTAACTAACTAAGGTGCTATCATTTTTAAGATGTCTATATATTCTGAGACACCTCTCTCTCTCCCACCTGTAGTACCGACACACGCTATCAAACCAGGGTTGTGTGTGACTGTCGCGAGACTTACAAGTCCTTTTCATGCACTGAGCAGCTGTACAAATGGCGTCCGTGAATGAGTTAATAGCACCATCTATATTATCTGGTAGTAACAGAGTACATTGTTCAAAACAATCTACCACATGTGGCAGTACAAGATTATCTCTGAACTGTTGTAGTTTCACCATGTCCCACACATAGTGGTAGTTTTCACCGCTGTCTCAACGGGAATCTCCGGGTCACGTGCTTGAAATGAACAAGATAGTGGAAGGTGTGAGGATTCTGCCCTCGACACAATATCAAATGTGTTACAGTGGAAGAATAGACTGTTGGATACAATAATGTAGTCAATTACACTGAAGCCTGAGTGACCGATGTAAGTATAATCACCTATACCTAAATCCGTAATTTCACATACTCATCACCTGGACATTCACAAATCAGAATCTGTTGTTTTCACCATTCAATTTTGTATTTATCTTCTTTCTAAAACCAAACCTGCTATCTTGAGTATTTAGGTTTCAACAAAAGGGTCCTCAATATAGTCTGTCACATCAAACACATCTCCACATTACACAAGATGTCTCGCTTATACCGATACTGTCGGTACAACCAGAGGTGTAAGGTGACCTAGGGTCATGCATGCAACAAGCATGTTTAACACTGCTATGTCACTGTTGTGAAACCGTAAATAGTTTGTTCTTACCCCCACTACAGAGCCATGTCAGTGGTCACAAAATTACATGCTAACAATGAAGCAAATATTTTTATTCGGACATGAAAAAGGATAAACTTGGTATTTTTAGGTGATTATTATTTGATAATAACCAACTATCATCATATGATTGTGTGTTCAATGAAAATAATTGTGAAAAACCAGGTGCCAAAATGATGGTTGACTGACTAAGCATGCTAAGCAGGTCTAAGGCTAACATTAGAATAATTTTAAAATAAATGTGAAAAACTCCCCAAATAAAAAATGATTTTGCATCAGTTATACCTGCCCCCAAAGGCATTTCCATCAACAGCTGCAGACTTTCAACAACGTCCACAAAACGAACAGGTACAGCCAGCCATGACCTTGATATAGTTCATGTCAGGTACATGTTTATTGCTTCAGTGCCCATGGATACGAAGTACAGGGTGTGGTGTCAACTATGCAGTGAATGTTAATGAACAATATCCTGCTCCCGTGAACAACACCTGCCTACTGTCAGAACAGGACTGTTTCCCAGGCTCACTAAGCTACAATAATAACGTTTTTAGTTTGGTGACAATGAGATGTAGCACCTAGGTACTCAATCAAACAGGAACACTTGCAACATCACTACCCACACTTCTCCACATTATTTGAGGACTATTTTGGGGAGTTTTTTTGTTTTGTCTCACACGATATCGTTGCTGATCAGGACATATTTCAGTTTTCCTGTAAGCAGATCCAAGTTGAAGCACACCTATCATGTTGGACGAAAGACAATGGACTCATTTTGGGCTAACAAATGCAAATTGTTTCCCGAATTGTGCTACATCTTTTGTATTACAAGTGGCCTATGACTGGGACAGGTAACTCGGGTGGTTCCTGAGTAGCTCATGGTTAGTCATGTGATATATATAATGACAAAAACTCACAATAGCTCAGTGGTTACACTACAAGTCGCTAATATTTGCATTTCTTTCTAACGATGCACACATTCCTTTTGACTTGTATATAGTTAAGTAAAGATAAAGCTTCAGTCAACTTCAGTGAACGCATGATCTGATCGTTTGATATATGGATGTAAATGGTTTTAGCCAGGGCTGCGGTAAAACAATCCCCTTTCAGACATTTTTGTTCCCAACTCTTGAGACCTGCAGTGAGTAGAGTCGGGTAATAGGGGGTGAGGTACCCGGGTAGTAAATTTGGACTCGTCCCAGCACTAAAGTGGCCCCTACCTTTTCCAATACGTTGCATTTGAGCTCGCACTAATTCCTGAATCATAGCTGTATATGAAGTACACACAGAGGCTAAACTAACTGTTATGTTCTTATTTGTCACATCATAAAACTTTGGAAGTACAGAGCTTGAAACTCCTATCTTCTTCTTTAAAGATTGTTTAATTTGTTTGTTGTTTAACGTCGCACGCAGCAATATTCCAACTACATGACTGGCTGAGATTGTTAAGTCCAGACTTGATTATTTACAGGCCACCTTCATATAACTGGAATATCACTGACAGTGGTGTAAAACAACCCATTAATGTGGCTCAATATTCTTTCTATGAATTTCTAATTCTTTAAAATAAAAACATAAACAAATAAAAATCATCAGCATGTCAATTCTCGCCATAAAAACTGAAATGTCATCTAAGAGATGAACTGCAGTTTCATAAAGAATGGAAACAAGATTTCTTTCTTTCTCTTTCTCCCCCTGACACACATCAAAGATTTCTTTCTCTTTCTCCCCAACATACATCAAGCTCCCTTGTCTATCCAGACAATTGCCATGCTTAATCAGTCTGCCATGTACGGTGCTATCATTGTAATCATAATATATTTCAGGTATCAATAAATTTATATGATCACAGTAATTGCTGCCTTTGAATATATTCTAGTCTGTCATACAGACCCTGAAACAAACATATCCAATACAGCCCATGCAAGTCTATAATGTTTGGCAAGTCTAGATTACTGCAGTATCAGACAATGAAGAAAGTCTCTCGGCTCCTTTTTATTATATTTATAACTATAAGTTAACAACTGGTTTTTTTCTGTAAAATATGTTCATTTCAGAGACTAGATGTTCGTCTAAATATCTTCATAAATTCATATTACTGAATTAGAATTGAATTGAATTTGTTAGAAAGGCTCCACACAATAAATGTATAACAACCTGTTTGATATACTATTATGTCTCTTGATGGAGAAAGGCATATGGATCTATACCAAAATGTCACTATAATAGTATATTATAGAAGTTGTTACCCATAAAGTGTGTCTGTTCTGAGATAAGTTCTACATGATGATGAAATACATCAATTTTCATTAGCTATTTAAAACTGTTAATGAAATATATAAACCATAACTGATTCAATACTGTAAATTGTCAGTTACTATGTCAGTCTTCAATACAAAGGTACATGGTAATACAAGTGACACACTTCATGGACAGCTACAAATTCGTCAAATTCAATGTACACGTACACGTGGACAAAAAGGTATTGACAGCATTCTTAATGAGACAAAAATAAGTAATAGATATTTTGACAGATACGTTATGGGGAGAGAGCAAGCTACCACCCAATGGTTTTGTCTTCATTCTCCATTTAAAACATGCTCACCCACTGCTGATCAACACGCACTCCTGAATGATGCCTGTGTTAGTCAATGAATGAGATTTTATAACTGTCCTGTTGCAAGCTGACAGTCATGTAATCCGTATTGCATGTAACACACACTGCTGAGGAATGTTGGTGATCAATACCCACAGATCCAGCAACTCCAAACCTGTACATCGAATAACAAAAAGAAGAGGGTCCCTACCCTGTAGATCAGTAATGAGGGTCTGTACAGGTGGCCACTCTAGGCAGATTTACAATACTGATTGTTGAAAGCGTGCGTTTGTATTTGTTGTTTAACGCTACGCTCAGCAATATTCCAGTTATACGACTTCAGCCTGTAAATAATAGGGTCTGGATAGATAATGCAGCGATTGACATCGGTGTACCGTTTTGGGATATGATGACATGCATAAACCAAATCCAGTCAGTATCTAGTCATGGTTACTCAACCACACCCAAACCTGTATCTTTGAAAGGGTTTTAATGTGTGCAGCTACTTGAACACTGTCTGCCTTTACTGTAGAATGACCTAGCAGGGGGTTACAGGGTGAACTACAAGGTAGAAATCAGTGTACCCAAGCAAGCGTTAACTTAGTGTGATTTATTACTATAGTATAATACAGCAGGATGGAGATTATACTGTTGGTGTACACACAACACAACACATAGAATTCAACTATTGTTTTCAAATAATAGTTTTTTTAAACTTAATCACCAGTTTATTCAGGTGAGGCCCTGAAATTAAAAGGATGAAAACAGACTGGGCACAGATCGAGGCCTCGAACATGTCGTGGAAGGAGAAGACTGCAAGCTGAAACAAATCCTTCCATGTTTCCCCAGCTGTATTTGAGATGGCATGCAACATGGTAAGTGGAGCTTTGGAAAAGCATCAAATTTTGGTAATATGCTTTTTAACATTTTTTCAACTGTTAATTTGTCCCATCAAAATATCTCAAGAGTCTATTAAAGGATTAATTCGCTCACATTCATTTGAATGTTTTAGGTCAGACAATTGTATTGACAAGCCTGTCATGCCTACAGTTTGAAAGAAAAGTAACAATCAGAAAGAGAGAAAAAGGGTGCCAGTAAGTGTGTGTGTGATTGTGTGTGATTGTGTGGTGTTTGTGTGTGGTGTGATTTTTGTGCATGGTGTGTGTGTGCATGTGCATGTGGTATGTGCATGTGTGTGTGTGTGCGTGTGTGTGGTTCTTGTGTGCGATGTGTAGTCTGTGTGTTGCATATGTGTGTCTGTGCATGCGGACGTGCGCGCGTGCGTGCATGCTTGTGGTGTGTAATTGAGCAGTGTGTGTGATGGTGTGGAGTGTGTGTGTGGTGTGATTGAGTGTGTGTGTGCGTGCATGCATGTGGTGTGTGATTGTTGGGTGTTTGTGAGTTGGGTGATTGTTGTGTGTGTGCATGTTTGTTTTCAACTGTTAATTTGCCAAATCAAATATCTCAATAGTGTGTGTGTGTGTGAGAGAGATTTTGTGCAGTGTGTGTGATTACACTGTGTGTTAATGTGGTGTGATTGTTGTGTGTGTGTGTGTGTGTGTGTGTGTGTGTGTGTGTGTGTGTGTGTGTGTGTGTGTGTGTGTGTGTGAGTGTTTGGTGTGTAGCTTGTGTATGCGGTGTGTGTGTGTTCATGTGTGTGAGATATGTTTGTTCGTGTTGTGTGTGAGTGTTTGTGAAGTATCATGGTTGTTGTTGTGTGTGTCTGTGTGTAGCATGTGTGGTGTGTGTATGTGGTGTTTGTGTGTCATGTGAATGTTATGTGTGTGCACGTGTGTGGTATGTAGTGTGTGTGTGAGTATATGCGTGCATGTGTGTGTGTGTATATGCGTGCATATGTGTGTGTGTGTGTGTGTGTGTGTGTATGCGTGTGTGCGTGTGTGTGTGTGGTATGTATGTGTGTGTGTGTGTGTGTGTGTGTGTGTGTGTGTGTGTGTGTGTGTGTGTGTGTGTGTGTGTGTGTGTGTGTGTGTGTGTGTGTGCGTGCGTGTGTGTGTGTGTGTGTGCACACCACCATCCTACAGCAGTAACATTCCTGAATGTGGTGTAAAATAACAAACAAATGGTAAGGTAAATAAAGACCGTCGCCAGATGGAAAGCTAAACATGCATACATGCCATGTACAGGACAAGACGACTTCCATATAAAGCCAGCCACCGAGCAACTACCAACACCAGGTTTGTGGCTTCAAAGAGATCATGTCAGGTACATATACTTATTTGTTTGTTGTCTTACTTGGCACTCGGCAATATTCCAGCTACATGACGGCAGTCTGTAAATAAGCGAGTCTGGACCAGACAATCCAGTGACTGACATTATGAACATCGATGACATGCACCAACCCAGTCGCTGTGCCTTTCAGCTCACCACAGCTTTTCAAAACAATAGGAAATACTCTTCTCGATTGTTGAGCAGTATATTATCAAGAAGACTGAATACTATAATGGTCTGACTGGCCATAACAAACACTTTCTGTGCTGGTGAAGATCAGTGCTTACAAAACACTAATTAAACATGTTAGTAGAAACAGGAGAACACAACCGAAAACATGACATACAATGCTTGTAATAATATGCTACATAGGCAGGGAGGGATGTACATAGCACTCATAGTCATAGCACTCAGGGGTTTCGTAACAGACAATACATGACAAATCCTCTGTTAATTATTACCATTTCTAGAATCAGAATTTTATTTGTTTACCCATTTCAGAAAAATATATTCTTAGAACATTGTGGGCAGAGGTTTTACCTAAGGGCCAATATGGATCCCTGAGCACAACTATGTCAGATATGATTTGTTTCTTAATGAACTGTCAAGGTCAAGGCCGGTTTATAATGAAGGAGCAACACCCCCAACCATACCCAAGATATCGTGCAGAGGATGAGCCTGAGGTCTGCTTACAAGTCAGTGACGTGAGCGATGAACCCATTTCTGGTGTCCCCCGCCGTGATATTGCTGGAATATTGTTAAAAGCGGCGTAAAACCAAACTCACTCACTCACCTGAGTGATGAAGATGCAATGTTGACAACAGCCTTAGAAATTCTTTTTAAAGACAAGTCCAGAGAACAAAAAGAAACTTTATTTCGCTAGTCCTCAGAGTTTGTAACTGGCCTTTTTGAACGAGACAAAAATGTCAACTATGTTTACATTTTCTATCAGTTTTATTCAGTTCCAATTTGTAGGAAAATCAAGCATTGAGAAATGGACAGGGGTTGATTATTGGTCAAATCTAGCTAGTACAGAGCTCATTTCAAACCAGCGTTTTTTGTTAAAATCCCTCTGGATTTTCACTAGTCTCTGCAAATAGTCAAGTATAGATCAGACAATCCAGTGATTGACATCATGAGCATTGATCTACCCTCGGATACTATGACATGCATCAAGTCTGACCACCCGATCCCGTTAGTGGCCACATTAGACAAGCATGCATTACTGAAGACACAATTTAGTGGTCTGGGCAAGCGAACGAGCATGAATTTTCAAAGGCTGTGACAATGCATGTTATCTAAGGCTCCATGAATATTTGCATCTATTGAAAACTCAAGACGCACTGAAATGTGTTAAATAGTAGAATGAACTGAACTGAACCAGTGTGAACTGAACTGAACTGAATCCTGGAAATTTCAGAAGTTTACTATATCACATCCACCTATAAAATCACCTTAAACCATACATTCAACCAATCTGTGAAATCCCTGGACATGGGTTAATGTTAGGGGGCTACTCCAAGTGCAGGTTATGTCTCCAAAGTCACAAACACTACCAGTCAGCATGCCATGACAAAACAAAGTGTACCTTTCACGGCCATGGTGGTCACTACCTCTCTTGCTACTACACTGCAATAGAGAAACCCAAGACAATCAACAAGTAGGACCTCATTCTATATACTGATGTATATCACGGCCATGGTGGTCACTACCGCTCTTGCTACTACACTGCAATAGAAAAATCCAAGACAATCAACAAGTAGGACCCCATTCTATATACTGATGTATATCACGGCCATGGTGGTCGCTACCGCTCTTGCTACTACACTGCAATAAAAAAATCCAAGACAATCAACAAGTAGGACCTCATTCTATATACTGATGTCAGCCCCAGGGCTAAGCTGAATGTACGTATGGAAGTTCCAACACCTGCGAGTGAGTTGGGTTTTACGCCACTTTCAACAATATTCCAGTTAGATCATGGTGTTTCAGCTTGATGTGGGAGCACAGCCTGAAGTGATTCAGGTCTCAGACATTTACAACTTTGGTGAAACCCGCAAGCATGGGTATGGTGCTGACAAACCTAGAAACATAAATAACGGCACAGTTTTCTGGCACTCCGAAGGGATGCAACTCTGCACAGTGAATTGCAGCACCTTAAATTCACGCTAAAGATACATTACAGTGGAACATGGATCTAACGAACTACAAGGAACCAGACAAATCAGTTCGTTATATACGTTTTCCCTCGGAAACGTCCGCCATCTTGGATAAAACAAAACACAATACATGTAATTGCAGCATTGACTTGTATTAGCAGTGATCACTTCATAGCACTCAATTGATAACATTTTATAACATTCATTTAATAACATTAAATTCATAACATTTTTCAAATATTGTTATCAAACTCTTCTTTCTATTGCCTGCCATGTTAGCATATGCAAGTGAACTGACACATGGACACAATCTCGTAAAATTTATATGTTTAATGATTGTTTTACAGACAAGATTACATGTACAGGTAAAATTAACACAATGCAAGTTTAACAAGGGCGATCCGTTACCGCTGATTGTGTTGATTCGCCACGATTGCGTACAGCCAATGGACACTGAGTGAGATTTCTCAGTTCGCTATACACATCACTAATTAGTGGTAGATGGGCTTGTCAGTGATCAGATATCAGTTCGCTGTATCCATTAGTTCACCGTAGTGAGTTTGTTATATACGTAAATTTTATATGATATTATACAGGAGATAAATCGGGTATTTTTTAACAGTTCGTTGTATCCGTTTGTTCGCTATATCCATGTTCGACTGTATTCTAATTTCTTTCTTTCATAAATTTAAAACATGGCGTAAGAAACATAGAAATTGAATCTCAAGAACTATGAATACTTTGGTGTGTAAAGTGCATTAGATTGGATTTAAACATTTTGTTGGTAGGAGGACAATACTGAATAACATCCTTGGT